GTAAAGGCACCCGGGGCTGCAGGAGCAAAAGCTAGAGAGAGAAAGCCCGCAAACCATTGAGAAAGGGTGTGCACCGAAACGGGAAGGGGCAAAGGAGGCCAGGGTCAGCCGTGAGCCCAGCTCCAAAGCTGTGCAGGGAATGCGGAGCTGCTGACTCTGCAGTGCCCCGCGCCGGTCACCAGGAGGCACTGTTGTGCTGTCCTCACCCAAGGCCGGGGGTGAGGTGCCTTTGAGGGGTAGGTGGGGAAAAGCGGGAGGGAGACCATGTGGTGGACCTTTCCAAGCTGAGTGTTCCTCCTGCAAAGGCATTCTCCAGTTCTAAAGATGGAGATGAGTGTTGCAGACCAAAAAACGCCCAACAACCAGAGTGGGGAGTGTGGACTGTGGGAGACTCACGGGGAAGTTGAGCCCGGGACTGACCCATCTGGACCAGCATTACAGGGCTGGCGGCAGGAAGGCAGGGGGCAAGTTTCAAAAAGAGCCATTGGGAGCAAAGTTCCTGAAGCAAGAGGGGGCCCGGTGAGTTCTGGGAAGGGAAATAACCCTGCGACATGGACTTTGTCCATGCACTTTATAAAGCAACATAAATGGGGATGTGAGGATAGAGAGGTCTTGTCGGTTTTTTTTTTTTTTTTAACATGGGGAGGGAGGAACAAGACGGTGAGTTCTTTTGTAAAAACCAAAAGCTTTTGATTTTGAAGTTTTTTCAGATTTGCAGAAAAGTTGCAAAGATAGTGCAGAGTTCCATGTACCCTTCACCCAGCTTCCCCTAATGTTAACCTCTTACACAATCACGGCACATGTATCCAAACTAAGAGATTAACACCGGTACAATGCTAGTATGGAAACTAGATTTTATTCCATTTTTGCCAGCTTTCCCACTGAGCGTCTTCCGTTCCGGGATCGTGTCGAGGATACCGTGTTCCATTCAGTCCTCCATCTTCTCCAGCCTGTGTCCATTTCTCAGCTTTCCCCCATGTTTTTGGTTTTTAGGAAGAATACCACAGGGGAGGAGTATCCTTCCCATTGAATTATATCAGGAGGCACATGATCTCACTATGACTTATTATTGGGGACACGAGCTCTTGAAGGCTCGCTCTCTCTCTCTTTCAGCCTAATTTTCCAGAATAATGTAGTATTCCTGCCTCTACGTACCTTAGTATCCAGATGAACTAGAAAATCTTTCCTGCCCCTGGGAAACTGCGTGCTTTATCCTCTGTGGATAATTGGTCATCAGGATTTTCTGTTGAAACATCACTAGCTCACTCTTCCCATACTTTGTTAGAAGCGGGTCACTAAGTCCATACCCAAGGAGATGGAAGTGAAGCTCCACCTTCTGGAGGAAAGAGCAGCGAAGGATTTTTGGAGATGTGGCAAAACCACCAGGTAATAATGCCCATTTGGGGGGGAGGTGATTTGAAGCTATGCGAATATTCTATTTCAATGAGTTCATGATTGGGAGTGTTGACTTGCTGTAACTGTAGGACAGAGGACGTACTTAGGAGAGAGCTAGAGAGAGACATAGGATGAGGGCTCTCGGGTCGCTAAGACTGGGGATTTGTGTGTGAGAGCCAGAGAAGGTCATTCTTTTGTGTGTGGTCAGCCCCCAGCGCCTTGTTGCCAGGGCTGGGAGTAGCTGAGTGTTGAGAACCTGGATGGGGCCTCTACAGACATGGTCATAATAGTGGTGGAAATGGTGGGGTGCAGGCATGGGAGGAGAAAGGTGCAATCAGCATGAATTCCTAGTAATGGATCCATCTTTTGCAGGGGAGAGGGCTCAGGAACCCACCCGGCTGCAAGAATTCAGTCCCTCTTGTCTCCTGGCCCTTCCTGCCGGCCTGGGATGGACAGGAGTGGAGGAGATGGCCTCCAGCTTCTTTGAGGGCCTTCCCTCTGAGTTGTGACAGCAGCCTGCTTCCCGGTCTGCTCGGGAGCTGTGGGTAACCTCCTCGTTAAGGCTGCAGCCTGACACAGCCCAGCTTGCCGGTCCACTGAGTGTCGTCTAATCTCGATCAACCTCCCCTGCCCCACCATCTCCCCAGATCTGGGGACAATCTGTAACTGGGACTCCTTTTAGCTCTGCTGATATACAGATAGCAGCAATGCACCAATATGGGAGCTGGTGTCCTAGCATCAGGACCCTTGAGGTTTTGCCCCTTCTATTTTTTCCTTCACAACCTGGCTTTATTTTTTATTTTTATTTTTAAAAAAAATTTTTTTTTTCAACGTTTATTTATTTTTTTGGGGACAGAGAGAGACAGAGCATGAACAGGGGAGGGGCAGAGAGAGAGGGAGACACAGAATCGGAAACAGGCTCCAGGCTCTGAGCCATCAGCCCAGAGCACGACGCGGGGCTCGAACTCACGGACCGCGAGATCGTGACCTGGCTGAAGTCGGAGGCTTAACCGACTGCGCCACCCAGGCGCCCCCACAACCTGGCTTTAAAGACGGTTGCCTGAATTAGGGAGCTGTTTGTTCCTGCAGAGCTGGGGTTTGGATCAGCTGCAGGGTGCCTCATGGGCTGGTTGGGACCTCCTTTCTCTTTTACTCAGTCATCTCTGTCACTGTCCAGCCATTGAGAGACAGGCTGGCTTGGTGGGGTTCAAAGAGCATTATCCCAAAATATCTCCCAGGATTGATCAAGCCTGGATCCTGATGTCCTGGCTTGAATCACTTGTTGCTTTAGGTACACAGCCAGTTCTCACCATGTGTATGTGTGTGTGTACATGTGTGCACACGAGCACATGGGCGTTAAATGAACTGTCTCTTTCGCATCTTCAGCCTGTCTTTGATTTATTTGATTTCGTGGATCTGTGACCCGGTCTCTCTCACCTCTTTCAAAAAGCCTTCCTGGATTAACTTTACATCAACCCAATTTTAATTTAGCTAATTTAACCTCAGTTCTGTGCTATCTCTGTAAATTTAAATGTGAACGTTCAGCGTCTTCTTGTAGAATGTAAGCTCCTTGAGGGTATCTCCTGCCTCCCTAAGTCTGTATTATTGGTAGGCAGGCTAAAAGATGAAAATGGAAGTTCTTTGATCAAAAAGACAAAAAGGAAGTTCTTTCATCATGTATGGTCTCTAGTGACTTGTGACTCAGCCTGTCCTCTGGAATGGTTGAAGACCTGGATCAAACTTCCAGGAACCTGGGGATGTCACGTCCATTCTCCTGCTTGTGTGCATGTGCGTGCATGCGTGTGTGTGTGCCTGTGTGTGTTGGTAAATGCCTCTTATTCCAACCTTGTGGCTAGGCCTCTCTAGTTCCCAAAATAAATTACCAAGAGGGTTCAAAGAATTGCCCCTACCCTGAGGCAGCAAGCCCTCCTTGTCCCCGCGGAGAAAGGGCCCAGTGCTTAGAATAATGAAAACGCGGACACCTTCCATCCGTCAAGAAGTGGGGAAGCATGCTATTTCTATCCAGGTCTTTTATTCTTCTCCTTGTCTCCTTATTTGCATTCAGTGAGGAGGTGACACATTCTAGAACATAACCTCCCGTTTTCATTCCAGGAACCTAATTGTTATTTCTGTGTTTGTGAAAGATAAAGGATTAGCAAGAATGCTTTGCATTAAGGTGCCATTTGTAAATGCTTTATAATTATTTATGAAATTATCCCACATTTTATAGCATGGGAGATAATAACTTAAATTGATGTCTTAAACATGCACAATCATTATTTTAACAATATTAAATGCACCTCTGTAGAATAATCATTTCATAAATACGAAGAAAGCATTCAGAAGTGGCACCTTAATTTAAGACATTACAGGATTCGTGACACCCAAATCCACGACCCTTTTTCTTGAAGACAGATGGAGTTTCTTATCTGGCTGCAGCGTTCCTCTTTCGTGAAGTGAAAATGAATTCTTAAATTAAAAAATATATTATCGAGGTAATTTTGGCAATGTGATGAAGCAATGGGAGAGGAGATAAGCAGAATTTCCAGGGACCAGAACAAATTGGACAAACCTTATCTGTGCTTGTCTCTAGCCTCCCCACGCCCAGGGTACTGGAGGAGTCATCCGGTCTCTGGGTATCCTGCAGGGTCCTGGGGAGGAGGTAAGAACGGGCTAATGGTGGAGACGGTTGCATGATTCCCCTCTAATGCCAGGGCTTGGGGGGGCTGTTTTGAGCAAGAGAAACCCTAAGATAGAAGATCCATTTTGCACAGCGGTAGATCTCTGCAGTGAGGGGATATAAATCTAAATCCCAGCCTGTTATTTGTGGGAAGCTAGTCTATTTTTTCACCGGGTTAGCGGATCCAAGGCAAATAAGCCAGTCTCCCTGGCAGCGCAGCGCCACTGTCTTTTGCTGGTGGTGCCCTCTGCTGGCCACTGCCAGAATTTCAACACCACATCTTCCACCTCTCCACCAGGAAGGAGCTTTCTAGGCTCTGTGCCTATGCCCTGTGCGAAATGTTTTGTTAACATGGTCTCATTCAATTTTTGCAACAATCTCTGGATGACAAGACTGAGCCTCAGTGAGTTTAAGGGCAGGCCCAACCTCTTAACCACTGGACTCTCCTGAGTTAGCAGGCTAGGCCTTGAGTAGCTCGTTCTCCAGCTCTGGGCCCAGGGAGGAGTACAAATCTGCTCTGCGCTTAACGACCATGCTCCACAGCCTTAATGGGCTTATTTGGAAGTGCCCCTTAGACTCCAGCTTAAACCTAGCAATCTCTCAAGTGCAAGTCCTTTGAGGGTGCACTGGGTCTTTGAAATGTATAGTATTTATTCTACGATCTCGTCGTGGCCCCTGTGCATCCAAATACTGGAAGTTACACCAGCTCTTCTTTCTTTCTCACCTCATACCCAGGAAAATCTGTTGGCCTCACCTTCAAAATATATCCAGAATCCGGCTTCTTGTTTTTGTTGAATGTTTATTTATTTGTGAGAGAGAGAGAGGGAGCGTGCCCGTGCGTGCGCGCGCGCGCACACGCGGGTGGGGGAGGGGCAGAGAGAGAGTGGGGAACAGAGGAGCTGAAGCAGGTTCTGTGCTGACAGCAGACAGCTTGATGCGGAGCTCGAACTCGCAAACCATGAGATCATGACCTGAGCCAAAGTGGGCCGCTTAACCGACTGAGCCACCCAGGTGGCCCGATCCAGCTTCTTTTTAACCGCTTCCACCATTACCATCTTGGTCTGAGGCCTGCCATTGCTTACTGGTGTTATGGCGACAGCCTCCGGATGGACTTCTATAGCAGTCAGAACGAGTCTATGAGGACACAAACCCGAGTGTGTTCTTTCTCCTTCTCATTCCAGGTAAAAGTCAAATGGTCTCCCAGTGATCTATAGAGCCCTACAGTAAGGCTTGGTATCTGGCCATAGTTTCCACCTCTCTCCTGCCCTTCCCTTTTGCTCACTCTGCTCCAGCCGATGGGCCTCTGTGGAATTCCTTGAATATGTGAGCCAAGCTCAGCCTCTGAGCCCTTGCACTGGCCGATCCCTTTGCCTGGAATGCCCTTCCCCCAGATATCCTCATAACTTGCTTCCACACCCCCTTCGCACTTGGCTCAAATGCCACCAGCTTAGTGAAGCCCACCTTGATCACCATCTTTAAGATGGCCACCTCCCACACCTCCCTGCCAATCTTCCTTCCCTGTTTTGCTTTCCTCCATCCATTTCTAGTATGTTCTATAACGTACTTACTTAGTATGCTTATTGTTTATCTCTCCACTCGAATGCAAGTTTCCTGAGGGCAAGTGTTCGGTTGTTGGCATCTGCCCGTTTCCCAGCCATCTGAAAAGTGTCTGGCATGCTGTAGGTGCTTAACAAATACTTGTTAAATGCACAATGTTGCTTTCTTGTCCCCAGTGGGTGGAAGACAGAGTCACCAACTGTCCTGGTTTGCCCAGTACTGACCTGGATTTAGCACTGGAAGTCCAGCATCTTGGAAAACCCCTTAGTCCCGGGCGAATAGGGACAGTGGGTCCCCTGGATGACAGGCAAGGAGAGTATCAAGAAGAAGGGACAGCTGTCCCCAGGAGCCAGTCAGGCCTTCCCCCCCGCCTGGGAGTCTGGAGGGGGCGCCTGTCCTCACCACATCACTGGAGGATGGCTCTGTCTCAGAAAAAGCCTTTAGAGTTATTGAAATTGCAGCTTATTGAGAAGAAGAAAGTGAGTTTCTATTTTCCTGTAAGTGGCACAGGAGTAGAAAAACGATAGTGTAATGATGTTCCAGTGGAACAATTATTTTCCTGAGACGGAGGAACATAAAATATCACTTTGATTACACTCTCTGCCTTCTTACCCCACGCCCTCCGGCTGAGTTCAGTGGCCAATAAATCTTCCTCGAGCCTCCCTGACCTGTGGTTGCCGCCTCCGCAGGGACTCGCTGGCTGGCTCGGTCCTCACTTTCCCCACCGACCCCTGCTTCTCCTGACTGTGCTTTAGGGTGATCGATCGGGGCCAGAGCCGAGGGCAGAGGTGAAGGGAGACTGAGGCAGAGGAAACGGGGGGGCAGCTGGGACGCTCAGGACATGACCTTGAACCAGAGATGAAGGCTTGCCCTGGGGCAGGGCAGGGGCTGTGGCAGAGAAATGGAGAGAGGAGCGGAGATGAGAAAGCGCTTTTAAAGTCCTCCTCGTTAGGATTGTGCAGGAATGCAGGCAATGGAGAAAGTTGGGTCAGAGGTGAGGGTGGGTCTGGACGAGCAGAAACCACAGGTGGGCTCGTCCGTGCGGCCAGCTCGGGAGGTGTACGTGCAGACCTTTCTCCCTCTTTCTACAAAGTCTCAGTATTTACTCGCGTTGTTTGGTCCCTGAGTCTGCCTGACTGAGTCCGCTTGCGTGGCCATGGCGGACCACCCCAGACCGGGGGCTGAAATAACACACTTGTATTTCTCACAGTTGTGGACGCTGGAAGTCCGAGATCAAAGTGCCGGTGAGAGCCCTTCCTGGCTTCCAGATGGCCTTCTTGCTGTGTCCTCACAAGGGAGAGGGGTGGAGGGGGAGGAGAGGGAACGTGTGTTCTGGTGTCTCTTCCTCTTCTCATAAATGCACCAACCCTGTTGGATTAGGGCATCCCGCCCATGACCTCATTTAACCCTTATCGCCTCCTCACAGCCCGGTCTCCAAATACAGTCCCATTTGGAGTGAGGGCTTCGACACACGAATTTGGGAGGTGTGGAAGGGACAGGAGAATACACACGTCCAGGGTACAACATTACCTTGGGTGATTTCCTCTTGGCTCCCGGATTGTCACACACTTTCAGCCTGAGGATTATATCTTGTCCCCAGATATTTAAAGCAGTCGTTCTCAAAGCGTGGTCCTTGGACCAACAACATTAGCATCCCCTGGGAACTACCCGGAAATACAGATTCTCAGCGCTCCCCCCACCCCTAGACCTCCTGAATCAAGGACTCCAGCATTCTGTGTGTGTGTGTTTAAATGTTTATTTTTCAGAGAGAGAGATGGAGTGTGAGTGGGAAAGGGGCAGAGAGAGAGAGAGAGAGGAAGAACAGACAGAATCCAAAGCAGTCTCCAGGTTCTTAGCTGCCAGCACAGAGCCCATCACAGGGCTCGAACTCACGAACCACGAGATCATGACCTGAGCCGAAGCCGGAAGCTTAACGGGCTGAGCCACCCAGGCGCCCTCCGCAGTCTGTGTTTTAATAAGCCCTCTGCGTAATTCTGTGCAAGGCAGAGTTGGAGAACAGTGTAGGGCCCTGTAGCCAGGACCACAAGTTGGTTCTCTGCCCCTGGCCAGGTCTCTTTTATCACCCGTATTTCTGGACCTAAGCCGGACCCTCGTCAGGGCATCCATGACCCACATCTGATCTCGGCCAGGTACCCTCGCTGCTGGTGGAGCCTTGCCTAACCTGTGTTTTGATCTCCTTCCCTAGCACCCAGGTCTTGTACATCACTGGGTCCTTGTTTTAATTTCTGTCCCTGAACCTAGATGCTCAAGCCAGGGCCCTCCTACTGACTTCCAGGCCTTACTGCTGGCTTTTACTCCTGCTTTTCCTGACTTTTCTGAGTATGGCCTCCTGGGAGTTGTCCACCTGGGACTTCCTTCCTCTGTGTTTCCTGAAGACCTGGGCCGAGAACTGCTGCCATCCCCTACCCCCCCCCCCCCCCCAGCATCCACACCAGCCCCAGGTCTCATGGGGCTGGCCCACCCCCGGGGCAGTCCTGGCCGCAAGTCCACTCACCTCTTAGCCCGCCCGCCAGCTGCGTTATTCTTCCGGGCTGGATCATGTCGTGGGCCGGGACGGGCCCCAGGTTGTTCCCGGGGTGATGCTGGCACTGGGAATGCAGCATTGCGCAACTCCACGTTGCTGTGGCCACGGAGGGGTGGGCCGAGGTATTGGCCGGGCTCCCAAGTCCTTAGGAGTAAGGACAGGTGGTGGGGTTTTATTTCATTGTCATCAATTATAGGGGTCCTTCAGCAATTGCTGGCTGGGAATGAGAGGGATGAAGAAGCCTATGGTTTTTGTCCTAATTTGTTTGGTTTGGGGCTGGACCCCAAGCTCGGGAACCACAGTAATTAGCCCAGCTGCAGAATTGGGCAAATGTAGCACACGGCTGTCGCTGCTCCAAGGGGCGGGGCTGGCACCAGACCCCTTGGCTCTGACAAGGCCTTTTGTCAGCTGGGGGTGGGCTGTGATTGCAGCAGCGGATGTGGAGGGGGCCGGGGCTCTGCGTTCCCAGCCTCCCCTCCCTGCTCCCTCTCCCCCACCCCTTTTGGCTTGTGGAGCCGGCCCCCCCCCCCCCCCCCGCCTTTGCTGAGTCTGGGGGTGGGGATTAGGGAGGGAGACGACCCTGGGGTTGGGGGGCAGAGGAGAAGGGGCGGCCCAGCCTCTGAGCATCACGGAGGCTCATTTGATGGAGGAGTTGGCGTCTGGCGCTGGATGAGCAGGAGAGAGCTAAGAGAAGGGGCATTGCAGCCACGTGCACGTGGAGGCCGTGCAGAGGCCCGGAGCTCTGGGAGACGGTGTCTGCAACTTGCCGAGGCAACCAGAAGGGCCAAAAGATGGCTCGCCATGCAGAGCCCTGGTGGGAGAAGGGGAGGCAAGAGTCAGAGAAGCGAGGGGGGTGCTGGGCTACGGAGAGGGGCTCCATGTCAAGCACTGGCAGGGCTGGGCCAGGGAGCGCCCATCGTGGAGACTGCCACTTTCACCCGGAAGCGCATTCGCGTGGCCTGTCCACGCGCCTACGGGCTGTTGGGAGATGTGTTCACTGACACGCATCCCTCGGCTTTCCTGGAGCCCCAGGGCCTCTGGTGAGGCTTCCCCCCACCCTGGCTTTCCTTCTGTCCCCCCGAAGTCCTACTCGACAGGCCGCGTCCTCAGCTTTCCAGCGTGAACGGTTAACGCCTTCAGGCTCTTGACCTCTGTGTGCTGCAGAGTGTCCAGAAGCTGTGCCCTTACGCTGACTCCCGTTCTTTGCCTTTAATTGTAGAAGGAGATAAGAGCGGGAGGGATTTAGGGCGGAGACATTGGGAAGAAAGTCTTACTCATAAAAGTAGGTGAGGAATGGAAAAAATGGGGGTTATCTCAACAGTCGACTCCAGAGCTGTGATAGCTGACCTCTCCAGAGGCTGTGGGGGAGGCCAGCAACCACAGACGTCTCGGGTTCTCTGAGCAGACTTAAAGCCAGATGCCTACCTGGGAGCTAAAGACTCACCAGCTGCCACTTTCTTCCGTAGCTGAGTTGTCTTCCTTGTAGTATGCCCGGAGGGTCAGCCCTCCTAGTGCCACAAGCGAGCGCAGTGCCATTAAGAGAGGAGTAGGGGAGAGCGGACGCTCGGCCTCTGCTTATCTTTGGCCAGATGCCCCTCGACCTCGCCCATGTAGAGTTCTCTTGGACCTACCTCCTTCCTTTGTCTGTCAGCAAGACTGGAGGACATAGCCTTTCACAAACCCATGGCAAATGACAGCCGTTGGCTTCTTCTCTTGCTCTTGCCACTCCCAAAGATTCTGGGTGGGCAAGGAAGAGGCAGGGAAAGGATGAAAAGGCCCATATCCTGAGAGATGGTCAGTGTAGGGAGAAGCCAAGGGAGGAATGAGGTGAGTTAGGGCGGGAGCCCAACGCTAGGTTTTAGGGATTGTGGCCCAAAGCCAGGGCCCAGGTTTGGGGTGAGAAAAGTTTGGAGGGGCATTTTCCTCAGGCTGGGTCCCCTATAGATGGGCTACAAACCAGAAGGCCACCGACTCTGCTGTGCTGGTGGGGTGGCCTCGATATGTCTGTCGGTACAGTTGCATCCTAAGGGCCTGATGTCCTCCTTGTGAGCCTCATTGGCCTGCCTCTATTTCTGTTTCCCCGCCAGAGTGAACTGTGGTTGAGTAGCAGTGATGTCCATTTTGTTCATCCTTGTGTCCTCTGGGTCTAGAACTTAACAGGAAGTCACTAACATTGGTTACATGAATTTGCCCATGAGAGAGAGATGGCTGCTGGGCCCGGAGCTGGGCGTGGTGGCATTCAGACATTTCTGCTGTGGGGTCTCCCATCTAATTTCCTTCCCTTCTTGTACGTCCTTCCTTCTTCATACTCTAGTGCTGTCAGCTTTTCCTTTCTCATTTTCTCTGTATCCTCTTCATAAACTCGACCCGGTCCCTGGCTGTTGTAACCATATGGGCAGATGTATTTGCAGCGTGCCTTCTCAATAGGGACTTCCCTGAAAGCCCAGTCCCCGTGTGAAAATGTGGAGCCAGGGTCCCACTGTGCACTCCTCTCAGGGTCCTTCCAAGGATCCACCTGTCACTTCTCTCTCCAAGGCATTCGGATGAGTCACACTTCATCCAGCCGGGCTGGGCAGGCCCAGAATATGACTTGGTTAGGTTACTCTGACCACACGTCATATCCCAAGGTCCCACCAGACCTGTTGGTATCACACTCCTTTAGAAGAGCGGAAGCCTTTCACGCACCACCATCAGAAATAGACTTCGTCCTCCCGATGCAACTGACTAGGTATTGGAGCTCGGCTCCCAGAAGATTTATCAATCAAGGCAGCACTGTGAGAAAATACGGACAATTAGAGGTTAGTGCCTTTTAGAGAAGACGCTAATTTGTAGCACAGACAATAGGAATTTTTGAGGAGGGATCCACGCGATGAGAAGGCAAGTGTCAGAATGACGTCAATGAGTTGGGCAAAAGTCGACTTCTAGAGAATATCTGGAAATCGCTAAATAGTTACCTTAGCTGTCTATACCTTCTATCTCAACATCTACTGCCATGGAAAACAATAACCAATATGGATGATGAAGAAGCCAGAAATTTTGCGATATTCTCATCCATCAAAGAAATTGCTCCACACGCTGGTGTACAGCCCGTAATGTCCCTTTAAATGAACCAGGCTTGGGAATCTTTATGATGGCCCCCAGAGGTCCCTGCCTCTTGGTTTTCACCTCCTTGTATAATCCCTTCCCCTTTGGCATGGGCTGGATTCTTGATTTGCCTCTAACGAATAGAACATGTCACTTCCAAGATTAGGTTATAAAAAGACTGTGATCTTCATCTTGGGGGTTTGCTGTCTCCTAATTTAATCTCTCGGTTTCTGGTTTCTGTCTCTCTCTCTCTTTCTCCAGTCATCAGCGACCATGTTTTGCGGATGCTTAGGCAGCCTATGGAGAGGCCCATGGGAGGAGGAATTGAGGCCTGCCAGCAACCACAGGAGGGAGCTTAGAAGTGGATCCTCCCCACTGTCCTAAGAAAGCCTTTAGAGGAAGCCACAGTTCGGGTCTTCAGCTTGACTCCAACCTCGTAAGAGGCTTTGAACCCCAGTCATCTGGCTAAGACATGCTCGGATTCATGATGCACAGAAACTCTGAGATAGCAAATGTTTGCTGTTTTAGGCTACTGAGTTTTGGGGTTTCTTGTTACACGGAGCGATAGATAACTAATAAACCTGTATATCACCAATCCTTGATCTCGGGGATTCCTTCAGACTCCCTCTTTCACCACTGTCTCCACTCACCATTCTCTAGCACCTTGACTCTAGCTCCCTAACCCCCTAACCTCTCATTTTGACCCTTTCTGTCTTTGGCCTCTTGCCTGGCTTCTTGGGTTGATGGTCAGGTCTTGGCCTTATCATGTAGCTTTGACCTTGGTTCTTCTCCAGACACAGCGTTGAGGATCTGCCTTCTGGCACCATGCTTTATAATCTTGTGTAAGAAACTATAAACTCCTAAACTCTGCTCTGGCCAGGCTCACCTCTCACCTGCTACAGGTCTATGCAGAAGCAGGATCAGAAAACCAGCTTGACTTAGTAGAACAGGAGAGCTTAACCAGACACTCTGGAAAGATTTTCAGTGAAGGCTGAAACAACCTTCTTATCATGAGAAAATCCATACATTGTAGCCCTTCGTCCCCATTCTGCTAGCGTTCCTATCAATCCGGACTTTCCTGCATTTGTTAGCTGATGGATGGCAAATGACTGGTCCATTGCTTTGTAAAAACAAGATGTTGTTTTCAGATATTTATCTTTCCCCCCTCTCCCTCCCTCCTCCGCTTCCCCTGAAAAGCTTTCATTTGTTAAGTCTAGTCGGTATTTCATTCACTATTATTATTATCTTTGAAATTTAGACGTTAAAATGATCGGGTCTGGGTTCCATTATGGGGCTCTGGTGACTTAGGGTGAATATGTAAATATGCTCTGAGACTGAGAGAGTCTGTGGCTCCTTTTTCTCAGTCACCCTGCTTTCATGATAGCTCAGGCCTCAGAGTAAACCCACGGGTGACTCAACGTTGGGTACAGAACCAGAATTTGATCCACATCCACTGGATTGCCTATGATAGATACTAGTGATTCAAAATAAATTCGACGTGGGGTGCCTGGGTGGCTCAGTCCGTTGAGCATCCAACTCTTGATTTCAGCTCAGGTCGTGATCTCACAGTTCTTGGGATCAAGCCCTGTGCTGATGGCACAGAACCTGCTTGAGATTCTCTCTCTCTGCTCCCCCCCCCACACATACACACACACACACACACACACACACACACACACACAGTCTCTCTCTCTCTCTCTCTCTCTCAAAATAACATTTAACATTAAAAAAATAATAAATTTGACATTTCTGTGGGGGTTGGAGGACACCTAGCCTAGGTTGGAAATTCCTCACCTCTTGTCATCAAGGACATATTATACTAATAGATAGAACTGCCTGGTAACAAGACGTAAGTGCCTTGCCCAGAGAAGATGCATGGTGTTTGATGAGAGGGTGAACAAAGATTGTTAAAGCCCACTGAGGACTTGTCTGGCCCCTCTTCCCACTCCCCCTGGATGATTTCATCTGTGGCCACACAGGAACCGAATGCGCCTTATGTCTTTCACTCAGAGCAGCTTCTCATCCTCTCTTTCCCATCTTCTAGCATCCCTCCACGTTGCTCAAGCCAGAAAACCGGGGTCGGATGTGACTCCTCCCACTTCCTGACGCAGCCCCCGTATTCAGTCGCTGACCACATACCTGTTGAATGGAGCCGCTCCTATCCCTCCTGCACTGTCCCTAACTGGTCCTTTGCTTCCAGGATAGACTGTAGCCAGGTAATCTCCACATTCCTGCCAGAGACATGGACACAAAACGCAGTTCTGTTCACAGCACTTTCTGTTTAAAATGATTCAAAGATGTTTCAGTTGCCCTTGGGTAAGCTGTGCCCAAGTTCTGAGGAGAGGCAGCAAGGCCTTACCTGATGTGATCTGGCCCTGCTTCTCTCTTCATCCTTACCCGGTTTTTCATTACACGCCTTGAATGTTATCTTCCAGGCACAGCTCCTCCCTCACACCTTTGGACACGGGATTTCCTGGCCTGGGTATCTCCTCCCCCTTGTCTCGCTACTTGGCCTGGGTTTCTTCCAAGCTCAGCTTAGATGCCATGTCCCCCGAGAAATCTCCGCTATCCCCCAAGTCCGGGTTGGCTATTTCCTGGTGGGGTCCTACGGCACCCTCTGCTTTCTCCGCCATCACGAACGCCTGTTCTCCCCAGCGCGGGGCCAGCCACGTGGCCCGGGCCTCAGACAGTGCCTGGTCCACAGCACAGGACTAATCAACAAGTCGCGGGGCCACAAAGGAATGTGCCAGACCTACCGAGGGCAAGTTTTCCACCTTCCAGGTACGGATACATTGTGAAAAACCTCCACCCGCCCCACCCAGCCAGCCAGGAAAATCAGCTCCTGTAACATGACGAGTGCCAGCCTCCGGGTCCTGAATCCCGCTCTGCCTCTTCTCAGAGGAAGTTACTGAACATCGAAGCCTCGGTTGGCTCAACTGGGAAGCAGGAACCATGACAAAACCCAGACAGGGCTGGTGGGAGGAGCACACAGGCAGTGTATGCCAAGGTGCCCAGCTCGGTAAGTGCCTGGCGAGAACGGAGTCCTCCCCTCTGTTCCCGTAGGAGCCTGCACCCAGGGCAATGAACTTGTGCTTTCAAGAGCAAGCTGACAGAGCAGACTTGATAAGCAGCCTGGTTGTCGGATATGATAATAACAGTCTCATTTATTAATATAAAGGCCCACTAATAGAGGCGGCACTTTTAATTAGCCAACACGGCCACGATATTAATTTTTATCCACAGTTATTTAAGTCCGGGAGCCTTCCTCCCCTCTTCTGTTAGCACTTAGCTGCAGGGCGATTGAGAACATTTGTAATTGGATTTCTGTGCAGGACTTAATTATAAGGAGACAATAAAGCCCCTGAAATGCGCAGGTTCTACCCTGCTAACTATTATTTTCCAGAGACACGCTCAGGCCAATGAATGCACAGATTTATCTAAATTATAATTTTTAAACTTAACAAAGCTTTCCTCTCCCCGCCTCCCCAGGACCGAGAGGAATCTGCCGGGAGTACAGATTTGCAGGGAGGAGGGCACAGAGGCGGCATGCTTCATTCCTGTAATCAAGTGCCTCGCTCCATGGGCCACTGAGCGGCTTCCCCGGGCCCCTCGGGATCTCAGAAGTGTATTTTCTTCCCTTGGCCAAATGGCTTATTAATAGAATTGGCTTATTTATATCTCACCCAGAAAATCCCAAAGTGATACAGCAACAGGGAGATATCGAGCCAATTAGTTGTGGGACTTGTTGTCGTGGGGGGAAATCTAGTTATTAATTTACTGCCCTTCACCAGCGGCAGAATCGATTCGCAGGAAACCAAAAGGCAAAGAAGAAGAAGAGGAGGAAAGCCACGTGTTTCGGACCATCTGGGAAAACTCAAAGAGACGAGGCGAAACCATTTATACCTTCAGCAAAGCTCTCTCGCTGCAGGCGAGCAGGGAGCCGGGGGCCCCGCGTGTGACCAGCTCGGTGCGGGGTGAGCACTGGGGTCTGAAGAGCGTCCGCTGGGAGGGCCTGTCACCCATGTGAGTGCATTTGCTTCTCGCAACACTCCGCAAAATGGGTTGATTTCCCGCACTTCACAGAAGAGACGCCCGTTCGCTCACTCATTTGTTCAGGAGGAATCCCGAATCTTTGGAGATACAATAGCGGACAGGAAAGAGCCTGCCTCCCTGGAGCGTACTTTTGGGTTCAGATGGCGAGCTGCCCAAGGTCATCAGCCAGCATTTGTATGTAGGTAGTAGGACTGAGATTATAGGTTCTGCCAAGGGCAAAGTCTGAAGCATTACTTTGCCTTCTCCTGGGGGCTGGGTCCCGTGGGTAGCTTGGCTGACCACAAAGCAGACTGTGTGAGGGTCTATCTGTCCTCCTAACGTCAGAGGAGGAACAGAGGTCACCAAGGAGTGCAGTTTAGGACCTGGAAGAAGAGAGTCTGCTGGGAGGAGGGTCTGGGAGTACCTTCTGCTACCCTACGAGAGGGGAAGATGAATCCAGAAATACAGTACTTTCTTTAAAAGAAAATGAAAACCAGGGCATCTGGGTGGCTCAGTTGGTTGAGCATTCGACTTCGGCTCGGGTCATGATCTTGCGGTTCGTGGGTTCGAGCCCCACGTCGGGCTGTGTGCTGACAGCTCGGAGCCTGGAGCCTGCTTCCGATTCTGTGTCTCCCTCTCTCTCTCTCTGCCCCTCCCCCGCTCACACTCTGTCTCTCTCTCTCTCTCTCTCAAATATAAATAAACATTAAAAAAATTTTTTTAAGGGGCACCTGGGTGGCTCAGTCAGTTAAGCGGCCGACTTCGGCTCAGGTCATGATCTCACGGTCCGTGGGTTTGAGCCCCGCGTCGGGCTCTGTGCTGACAGCTCAGAGCCTGGAGCCTGTTTCAGATTCTGTGTCTCCCTGTCTCTGACCCTCCCCCGTTCATGCTCTGTCTCTCTCTGTCTCAAAAATAAATAAATGTTAAAAAAAAAATAAAAAAAAAATTTTTTTTAAGCGACAATCATCATTATGCTTGTAGAAACTGTTCAGATCACATTGTAACATATTATGAACACTTTTCTAAATCATAAAAACATTTTTGTGGCTATAATTTTATTTGATTTTGATTTTTTTAGTGTTTATTATTTTTGAGAGACAGAGACAGAACATGAGCGGGGGAGGAGCAGACAGAGAAAGGGAGGCACAGAATCCAAAGCAGGCTCCAGGCTCTGAGCTGTCAGCACAGAGCCTGATGCGGGGCTTGAACTCACAGACTGTGAGATCATGACCTGAGTGGAAGTTGGATGCTTAACCAACTGAGCCACCCAGGCTCAGTTTTATTTTAATTTTATTTTAATTTAATTTTATTTTAATTAATTTATTTTTATTTTATTTTTATTTTATTTTAATTAATTAAAAAAAATTTTATGTTTGTTTAGTTTTTGAGAGAGAAAGACAGAGTGCAAGCGGGAGAGGGGCAAAGAGAGAGGGAGGCACAGAATGTGAAGCAGGCTCCAGGCTCCGAGCTGTCAGCACAAAGCCTGATGCGGGGCTCGAACTCATGAACCATGAGATCATGACCTGAGCCAAAGTCGGATCCTTAACCGACTGAGCCACCCAAGAGTCCCTATTTTAATTAAAAAAAAATATGCTTATTTATTTATTTTGAGAGAGAGAGTGTGAGCAGGAGAAGGGCAGAGAGAGAAGGAGAGAATCCCAGGCGGGCTCCACATTGTCAGCGCAGGCCTGATGAGGGGCTACATCTCTCCAACCGTGAGATCATGACCTGATCCGAAATCAAGAGTTAGATGCTTAACCGACTGAGCCACCCAGGCGCCCCCGTGGCTGTAGTTTTAAACGATAATATAATATTCCATCTTGCAGGTACACTATAATTTATTTAACTTTCCAAAACTTGTGAATATCCAAACCTCGGTGAATATTTGTTTGTATTTATTATTATAAATAAAAGAGATGAACACGGATATGTGTGTCCTTATGTTTTACTTGCTCGAAATTGAATAACAGAATTATTCCAATAAAATTAGAGTAAAATACTCCAATAAAATGGAAATATTGCAACAACGAGAATGAATATTTTAAAGACCCTTGAGGCTTATTATATTGCATTATATTGCATTCCAGAAACATTGTATGAATTTCTACAGTGCTAGCAAAGTGTGAGAGGACCTACCGTTGCAACCGTGGCTTCCTCGATACTCTGCATCGACTTTTACAAGTATTTGCTAATCTGGTAGGGCAAAAAAAAAAAAATGTATTTCATTACTGTGTTTTCTTCCTGTGTATTGATTGCCAGTGAGGCTCAACGTTTCTTTGTATGCTTAACCATTATTTGTATATCTTCTGCAAATAGCCTATTCTTGTTCTTTGCACATTTTTCTTTGGGGTTTAGTGGTTTTTGTCACGTATAAATGCTACTTTATATTTTAAGAACATTAATTTTTTGATGTTTTTGTTGCAGACATTTTTCTCAGGTTGATTTTGCTGTTTATTTTTATTTTCTATGATTTTTTTATAGCGATGGTTTGAATTTTTGTGCAGCCAAATATATCTGGGTTTTTTTTCCTTTGTGATTTCTCCAATTGCTTTTGTGCTTAGAAACTCCATCTCCACACTGAGATAGAAATAGTAATCTATATTTTATTCTAAGTATTTTATGGTTCTATTTTATTTACCCTTAACCCTTTAATTCATCTGACATTTATTTTGTTCTATCTTGTGTGATAAGTGTTTAAATAGATTTCCCCCCTAAATAGTTAACCATTAATCCCAGCATCATGTATTAAAGAATGTTTTCTTTCCCCATTGGCTTGGATGCCACCTTTATCACATGTTGAATTTTTTTTTTTTTTTAATATACAGTTCACTGTTCTGAGCTGTCTTATTCTGTTCGGTTAGTTCTTCCACTATAATCACACTGTTTTAATTATTGCATCTTTATACATTCACATATTTTAAAATATGACATATTTGTATATGAAATGTAGCATTTTATGATCTGGTGGAACAAATCTCCCACAATTACTCTGTTGAAAAAAAAAATTGGCGTTTCCTGCTCATTTTCCAGATGAATTTTAGAATCATGCTGTCTAGCTCCAGGAAAAAAAAAAAAAAAATCCCATTTGGGACTTGGAAAGGGATTAGATTCAACATATATCTCAATTCATGAACTGTTTGCATCTTTGTACTATTCAGTCTTGCCGTTCGGGAAAATGAACTGTTCTGTTTCCCCCTCCCCGCCTCCCCCCTCCCCACCCTCACCCCCCGCTTTTCTTTGTTTTTGCAGGTTTAACTCTTTGATCGGAGTGAGATTTTAGTGTATACTGTGAGATGAAGATCAAAACTGATTCCTTTTCAAATAGCCAATTTCCCACAAGCCCAGCATTTGCTTCACTCACACTTTCTCCGGTGAATTGCAGAGCTCTGTTCTCATTTATTAAGTCCTTAAATATATATTAGGGTCTGTTTCGAAGCTGCCTAATCCCGTTGATCTGTCTGTTCTTGGGCTAATGCCACACCATTTTGATTCTTGTCTGGTCTTTCCCAGGACGAGTTGGA